GACGTTTCGCTAAGATCTATACGATACAAGACGTGGATCGCCCTTTCTGTGTCTTATCTACAAATAGTCGATTTAGTTATTAACGGCATCATGCACAAAATGGGAAAGATAACTGCAATCCGATGTCACTGTACTAGCACTTTCATTCAGTCTTGAATAAGGTCTGCATAGGAACGATGATACTGAGCAACATAGGATTACAAAAAGAAAGGAAGTTACTGATATATGTACAAATGCTTCAAAGTTATCCAAGAAGTGGTGCTTTACGCAAGCCTCTTTTCCGAGTTTTTTGTCCCCTTCCCAAAATTAAGGCAAATATTAGTCGATAGTCTCCTCAATTTATATCGAATGAAGATGTACGCCGTAATTTAACAACGATACATAGGAGAAGTTCTATTGAAAGATGTAAGTACTTAAGTTCTTAAGGTTGGCCTGCGACATATTGAGACGCATAGGTGTTAAACATTCTTTCGGATACATCATTTGTAAAAATTACAAATGATCGTCTGCTCATAGCTAGAAAAATAGCATCGTCGATACAACGTAGATCACAATATTGCAACCTTATAATCTTTGTGATACATTGTTGCTGTAGGTGGATTATGCATCAAAAGCCCGTGCTGTATTTAAGCACTCTTATAGCATACTACACGTGCTGGTTTGTACGCTAAACACGGTAATTGATGTCATTAAACCGTCTTATAGAACATAAAGTAGACAACGGACGGCAAGATGGTAAGATCGAAACACACTCCATGATCGCTCCCTTTCTTGTTCCAAGAGTATAGTATAGTGGTATTGCATCATTCGTCGGTATATACGCGCGAGTGTGATACCATATTTCTGCACAGTCGCAGGCAAGAAAGGGTAGAGAGCTATGTAGATTCGTTTAATTCTACATACAACCCGCTAATAAGTGGGTAGAAAAAAATTTGTCCGGATGGATAGGATCCGCTCATATCATGTCAATCACCATTTGTACAGCCTATCATTTCCGATTTTGGGTCGGTTTAGCGGCTCATTTCGCTGCCACTAAACAACATACACAGTAAGGGATCACGTAAAAATAACTGTTTCTACCAATAAGCATTGAGAGCTATCTTGAAGCAACATACTTGATTAAATGATGCAACAATTTATTTTGGTTTTCTCATCATGGCCCTCGCTTTCACTGATCATCATCGACAAGCCGTACTTGTTAGCTAAAAACTGTATTCTCGACTGAATATCGCTGACGACCTCAGTCTCTACCATGCGTACGTGAGTCTACTTCAATAGGATACTACTCACATCTCGCAAGATACACTGAGTTGTAGCTTAAGCAAATAATGTGTCGCTAAAAATACCTACGTAGGTGCGTGTGTGTCAGGTGCTTTAGCTCCTACACTTGATCGATCATTCACCAATCCTTTTTATGTCTCGATGTCTTCTTGGGGTTCTATCCCTTAATTTTTCGTGCAGACTCTTCCATTGACTTGCTTTGGCTTTCAGTGCATGGCAACAGCTGTTTCTGTAACTTAAAACGCTGAGAGCAATCCATAATGACCTCTTTGCCACTGCGAGGTAGACGGATTATTCAATTCTTCTTCTCCAATTGTAAATGCTAATATCTTTAATGGCTCTATTGCTTCAGCTCCTTGGCTTTTTGTGGAAACAGGTCTCCGGTGCTGCCTCGGCAATATTTACATAGCCCGGAAACTCTTATCACGGTGCTGATGTGTAAGACATGGGTTCTTGTGAAGCTGTGCTATGTCTGCTCAACCGATGAGATGGTCGCGCTCTCTCGTGGAACTTCCAGACGTTAGCAAGAACAACTAGGCGCTCGTTAGATGACGATCGGATAAAAGATGAGGAACGCATTTGTACGACCGATGTTGAAAGACGACCAATATTAGCTCAAATATTTCAATCATAGTTATCCGAGGATGCCATCAAATTGGCGATTAAGGTACAGCGAGATAAACGGTCATCCTGTGTGTAGTGCGTTGGGGTTGACTACTTCATGTCCTTACGGATTTGCATATTATTTGTAGCAATGCTGTCGATCGCTTTCCCTGGCATAAATGGTGCATTCGCAAACATGAAACTACCATCCTCTGGCTAGCGTCTTCCGGCACATTGCACAGTTACTAGGTACGGAATTATCTGTCTTGTTCCCATCGATGTTTAAGGTAGCTAGAGACAACCCAATATCAGAGGAAGTAGTACTGATACAATGTGTGGTGGGAACAATCTTTGTCAAAACGCAATGTATCATGAAGTTTTGGGATCAGTGGGTTGCGTCATTCCTGATGACCCTAAACGATTAGTTTGAAGTTCCTGTACTCTCTCACGACTTGCAGAAACGTCTATATTGCACTCTTGTACATTATTGACTCAAGCTCGGTAGTTCTTTCGATCGTGAAGATTCGCTAAGTGAACAGTACCACACTCATGGGCGTAGTGACCTCACCCTAGCAGATATTCCGTAGTTGCAATAGCTTAAAACCATGAGAGCGATATTGTTTAAGCAATAAAAAAGGAGGTTCTAAATGATTTCGATATTTGCTTCGTTGTCTAGGTACACAATTAGACGTCGATACCAATGCGAATTTTGTCAAGAAAAACTACGCATGTCGCGCCATGTGGATCAATAGAGCAATCTTGTCGAATATGAAGTATTGAAATGGGTCTATACCGAATCATTCGCATTAACTGTGGTGAGCACAATTACCTGTTTCAGTAGATAGAGTAGACGCCATACGATATTGCGTACAAGGTATCTTGCTTGCTGAGCGTGATTATATTGTGTAGTTTCCCTGGTTCGATTGCAAGAGCGCCGATCAATTTTTTTATGCAATACTGGCAACGCTGACGTTTGGCCGAGACGTACCTAGATTTTTCGAACAACCACGCACGGTATACTACTCATCCCCCTTTATATCGATTTATCTTCACTGATTTGAGTTCCAATGGCGTTGACGAGTGCTACGGCCAATCGTAGCGAATAGTGCTTTCCAACCGTTTGTGCTTGGGGATGTCGCTCTTCAAGTTTTCGGTTCGGCGCACACCTGTAGTGACCCAACAGTAGTGTTATCAGCTTGCAGTTTCCACAGCCGTATAAGCTGTTGAACATCCTAGTCCCTCAACAGCACGAAGTGCTTTGATCTTTGCTGAGTAAGCAACGTGTCCAGTTTTTCTATTAGCAGCCGCGTCAGTTTGTAAAGTACGACCGCATCGATCGCGGCGTCTCTTGCCATTAATTTATTTCTCGAAACAAGCTGCTAAAGAATGTTCTTTTAAAGTATAATTCTATCTTTTGGACATATACCATATGAGGTACCTCGTGAAGGAAAACCCGGAAACCGGGGCGTAGAATTGAACATCACCCACCAGACCTATAGTGGATTAGTGCGTGTCTATCTATGGACCATGACACGGTATTGAATATAAGGCTTTCACCATCGCCTATACTTCTGACATTGTAAGCTTTTTATGCTTAAGACTGTGTGCAGATAGATTTCTGTACCTTATCACCACTAATGGGTGTAGAGATAGCTGAATTAGGATATTACAGCTGAGCGAAAAGCAAAATTAGGAATGTATAAGACTAAATGAAGTTCTAAAGAAATTGAATCAAAACGTTCCTGCAATATTTGTAGTAACAATAATCAAAGTAGGCACCTGGCTTTACTCTCATTGTGCGTATTTATAACTGATTCTAGATCAATGGCTGACACCATGGTCTGTATAGGCCAATTGGTAGTTAGTAGTGCGTTGCCGATTATGCTGGACATCACATCGTAGTTTCTACACATGAACACAATTGCAAAGATAATAGTATCGCTGACTTTTTCGTCAAAAGCTTTATGTGATATATTTGCCCTGCTTCTGACATCATTCCGTAAACACGTGGACCACTTTGCCATAGGCCAAAAACAGGTAAAAGTAATTGTTAGATACGTAAACAAAAGACGGGTGATAGATGCGTCTAAACACAAAGAGATAAAGAGCATGGGTGTATTTGCAGGGTCATATTGTATCTATGTAGCTACTTTCAGTGTGTGCGACCTACAAACAATCAGGCGGTCAAAAGTTTTACAATGTATCATTTTTCTTTTTTTATCCAACATGTATATTCTAAGGCTTCTAAAATATGTTTTCCATCTATTTTAGGGTCTATGTTTCGGAACGGGCTCACTCCGTTCCAAATCATTCCAGATGCCTAGAGCCTGGCAGGCAAATTGGTCGTGTCGCCAGGCGACATTTTATAATTTAAAGAATAAAAATCAGCGGGCAGTTGACCGTCTAAACCTTGCAGATGCACAACTTCCACGGACCAGGTCTTCCCGTCAATGAGGAAAAATATTGAAGCAGAATCCATCGTGTGAACTTCTATCATTCGGCTAAGATACAACAACATACACGCTGTATGAGTTCGTGCAGGAAAGCTATTATGCCTACTTCTCCACAACCACATCTGCAGGAATAGAAGCAAATTTCAGGGAAAGGCTTTGGCTCGAAATCAGAAGTGGGAAACGGAAACGCTCTGCGGCAAGAAAAAGTCATGGCCAGCTTTCCTCACTCTGCAATCTTCAGGCACCGAGCTGCACGTTGCAATGCGCAGACTTCGTCGTGCGCTTGCGGCTTTCGGCACCCTTCTCATAGGCTTGCAAGCTAACGGTAAGCCAAACAATTCCTCAGCTCGTTTGAACACCCTAACAGGCCTCAACGATACCACGCACGATCACATACTCGCGCATCATTCTGGATCGTTCGGGGCGGGCACGGTCCCATACGTTACTGGTCTTTCAAAGACGAATGATTCAACGGGAGAAGCGGCTTATGTTGAGGATCATTGGAGGGAGGAGCGGATGACTGAGAAGCTTGCTGAGATTATGGAATCGGTCGTTCGTGCAATAGGGCACGGTGTTTCGACTATTACTGAAGGCGCCGTCCATAGCAACAGTCTGATCGATATCGCGACCGCTGTCGAAGGCGTAGTCCATAGCTAGAGTCCGATGAACATTGCGGCCACTCACGAAGGCGTCGTGCATAGCGAGAGTCCGATGGACATTAAGACTACCACTGAAGGCGCGGTCCACAGCGAGAGTCCGAAGAACCTTGCGACCATACTTGCAGATGACCCGCTTGGCGGGAGACCGATAGACATTGCGACACAACCTTATCATGGAGTCATTATGCGCCTAGCGGCCCTTGATCGTACCGAGATATTTTGGGACATTGCCAGAAGCGAGGGATTCATAGACGCGTCGGCGCTCAGAGATGTGCTACAGCGTTATGGATTTCGTCCGCCATCGAAAACACGATACGCTCAGATCATGGCAAGCGAAGTAGTCGATACGAGCGGTAAAGCAGCCGATGCGACACGCAAAGTGGTCGACGCGAAAGGTAAAGCAGCCGACGTGACACGCAAAGCAGTCGACGCGACCGGTAAAGCGGTTGACGCGCCAGGCAAAGCGGTCGACAAGACTGGCAAAGCAGCTCGACAAGACGGGCAAAGCAGCTGACAATACGGGCAAAGTGGGTGACGAGACAGGCAAAGCAGTCGACAAAAAAGGCAGAGAGGTCGACTCAACAGGAGAAGCTATTGATGCCATGCTACTGGTGAATAACCCGGCCGATGTGATGCGGGCGTTGGTGTCGCTTCACATGTTTGAAGATATGAAAGATGAAGCCAGCGTGCTGACAAGAGAATTACTATCACGCTTCATGAGGCGTCCGATAGTGTTTTCTTGTATGTGGATGGCGTCAGGATTGAGACCTGAAGCGGTATTCAGAGCCTTCGGCTTTGATTGGAACAAGTTGGACCGCATATCGCTAATATTTTTGGACGAGTTGATGGAGTATATAGGCCTGTTCAAAGAAGTGCACCCGAGTACCTCCAGCGCTGATGACACGGCGAAACTATTGTTTGATTTTAAAGATGCGAAAGGACTGGATGCTCATCTCAAGGAGATTGCTGATCAACCTGGATATGACGCCCTCGCTAGTTCGCTACATGATCTTTACCTCGATGTTGAAGACTTCAACCCTCGCGCGAAAAGGGAGTATTACGGGCCTGCCATCAGAAGACATTTATCACATGAATCTACTCTCGTCGATGACGACAAATTCTGGAATTTTGCCGGACTGAAAGGACCAATAGACGTGAAGGCACTGAAAAAGTACTTGGATCATAACACAGCCAATGGTCAAAAGCGCATTAGCGCACGTGAGATCATCAAAGCTTTGTTGTTGACTACAGGTCCGACCGATGTGGCGCAGGCACTGTCATTGCTTTATGCCTCGAACCTAGGAAAACAGGATGCGATCGAGTTGTCGAAAAACCTGGTTTTACACTACTTTCAAGAACCAGGAGTAACATCCCGCCTGTGGATGGAGCTGGGATTGGACCCCAAAAACATTTACGACATGCTCTCGTTTCGCTCTGCCAAGATATATGAAATACTTCCGCGTCACGTGTATGAGTGGTTCACATACATTGAGCTGTACAGAGCGGCGCATTCGAAGTCGGCATTAGGCCCCGAAGAGGCAGCAAACCTTTTGGTTCGGAACGATGGAACAAAAGGACTGGGCGCGTGGGTTACGCGCTTAAAAAAGTTTCGTGAGTACAAGGATGTTGCTAACACGCTAAGCAAAATTTACGAAAAAAGACGGACAAAGGAGGCTAACACGCTTCTTGCGAACACGGGGACGTAGAGTTATGCCAAGCTAAACTGGTAAGACTTGCACGTGTTTTATGTATTCACTTGGTCGTCGATTTGACGGTAGGCTTAGATTTAGCATTAGTTTAATGTGAACTAAGGACCTAGAAAACTTAATTTTTCATTTTGTAATTTACTCCCCCCAAACGTATCTGAACCGACTAAAAACTCAGACGACCGCATCGGTTATATCCACATTTGTAGCATACGTAGCAACTAAACAGATCTATGTGCGTGATAATTTAATCATGAAAACACATACGATCCAGCATGGCGCGTACAACTAAACACTTTTCGACATAAATCACGCGACCTGATGATTGCCATATGACGTCCAAACAGAATGATAGCCGTGTACATTGTTAGAAATTTGTAACATTCTTGGCTTAATCACGAGAGAGATAGTCTAAAACGCCGCTTCTGAGATCAGAATTGACGCGGGCAGGCATGCGGGGGATAAGTTTATTTGGATGTATATAGACTAGTGTTTGCCATGCGACAAACTTTCCTACATCGTTGACAAATAAGACATGGTTTTCGCGTTCGTTTTAGCAATGACCACTTTATGGTTCGCAACGTTTACGCTCGTGGGAAACAAAATGGTGCCCATGCAACACCACCGAACAAGCCAAGGACATAAAACAAGGCCGATTTATTGACATGGTGCTGTTTCGCTCTTCTTTGACTAGTACTGCGTGGACAAACGGTAGCGGAGCTACACAGCTCCTTAAGTCAGAGGAAGGCTCAACGATCAATGAGCAACTTTGGTTCTACGAACCCGACTCAAAAAGTCAACAGCTCAGAGAGCTAAGGTTTGGTTCAAAGAACCCGACTCAAAGAGTCAACAAGCTCAAAGAGCTTACGGTCCCTGTTCCAGGGAAACTAAACGATTCAAAGAATCAAACGCTTTGAGTGCACAATGAATAGCTGCCTTAACAGGCGTTGCTATCTCCTTACGATCGCAAGACGCCTCAGAGAGGCACGTGTCTTTTGGATCAAAATGGAAACTGAATTTATTTCTTCTTTTAACCTAAAAGAATACCTTAGAACAACGCAATTAACATATTCGCTAATGTCCGAAATACACCTATTAAAAGATCTCGTAATCAATGGTTGACAGACATCAGTCTTCAACAATTGATACTTGTGTTCGAATATTACTTTAAAGGGGATCCCATCCCTTGTGTGTACCACACCTATTGTCGACTACCAGTCGACGTGTAACCCCGTTACACCCTCCCCCACCATACTGACGATCCCACAAAACGTCAATCGAATTCTCTCCTCGAAGAGAACGGTGTGTGTGCGCCTTAACCTTACGGTTGGCAAAACACAAAACTCCATGGCATTGCCCTTCCATGAGTCCTCGACTCTCTCGTCCTACCTCGGCGTCGATGTGGAGGTGGATTATGGTAGCGATACCGATATCCATGGTAAAGAGAGGACAATGTCCGACTCACCAGTGCAAGAGGCACCGCCTGATACTGCACCAAACCCATTTGCCGAGCGTGGCGAAGTCAACGAACCATCGGCGCCGCATCAAACACCCATCGTGGGCGATGCCATTATCATCAATCCGCTCGATGAACAACAACAGTTGTCTATCCAACGAGAGGAGAGCAACAAGCGCCGTATGCAGCTTGCTGCAACTCTTGAGAGTCGTTGTGGCTATCTGTTCACCCCACTCAATGTGGAAGAGCGTATACGCCAAACGACAGGTCGTTCTTTGGCAACGTGGGCCATTGGCGCTAAACCAACATCTTCTGATGAGGTGTTGAGTCGACAGGTACTTCACCAGAGGTATCTTCAACCCCACTTGACGACTCAAAGTCAATACAAGTTGCGACTTGACACGCAAGCACGGGGTGCACCGGTTCCACCGATGAAGGGTATAACCATCCTCTTATTCGTAAACGAATCTCAGGAGGAAGAAGAAAGCGCTTTTGTTCGCTGGGTGCATCGGAAACGACACCTCAGTAGCGTGTAAACTCTCAGAGCAAGTGCCGGAATGACAAATGTTCGGCTGAAACCAAATGTTCGGTATGATTACGCCAAGCTTAAGGCCAGAGTCCAGTTGCGAACTCGCACACGCTATGCTCCAGCCGTGCCGGTTGATGTGGGTGTTGGTCAAGCGGTGTCCAGCTACCCACCTGCCACAACCACTATTGGTGAGAAGCGCTCTCGGTCGAGGGATGACTCCTACCACGATGCTTAAAAACATCAACGGCAAATGGGCAAACATGCCGAAGGGGTATCCTAAAATCCCACGAGTTTTCCGAATCCGGGTACCCGCGCCAATTCACCAGATACAGCTATTAAACCTGATGACGATGCGTAATAGGAGTAGCTACACATGAAACTGGCGGTTCCCTTGCTCATCGAGAAGCGTCGGAGGAGGTCAATATACCGAAGGAGGAGCATGAGAAGGTACTTCTCGAGTTGAGTGGTCTCCGTGAGACATTGGGTAAGGCCCAGAGTGCGTTCAACTCGATGCGAGCCCGTATTGAGGTGTTGGAGTTGGGCCAAGTCTGGATGGAGGCTCAGCTTGACCTCCTGATACGGATTCAGCAACCGATGGCAAGGCCAATCTATGCGGCTCAAGCGCCTCCAACTTCGCGTGGGAAGGATCCCGATACGTCTTAAGCAAGCCCACGTAGAGCAGAGGGTGTATGCGCAGTTTGCGCGGAAGGTTGAGCGTATACGCAAGTCCCTTATTGGCGACGACCGTAAATGGTACAATGAAGCCATAGGCAACTTTGTCTTGTAGACGGCGGACACTACATTTGTAGTTAGTTTTCTTAGCATTGAGTAGAACTTGGCCTTCGACCTCATACCGTATCAATACAACCTCTGTCTTTAGCATCAGCTTGTTCCTTCTGCTTGTCTTGGATATCAGCCATTGCGTCGCACGCATGTCGTAACACATTCAATCGCGTTGCGAGAAACTCGCCTACCTGTTTTTAAACAGTACCAGGGCTGATATCAGCAAGCCGATCGGCAACTCCTCCCCCTACCAAGCCCTAAACCACGCAGTGGTAGCGTTACCGGAACGCGATAGTGTGTGATACCATTCACATAAAACGGTGTGCAGCCGGTGGAGGCATTCACGCCTTTATTCAACGCAATTTCAACGACAGGGAGCATCAAGCTCCAACGCTTAGGCATTTCAGCGCAATCACTGCGCAAGATGTCACCAATGATGCGATTCACTCGCTCGGTTTGACCATCAGTCTGCGGATGATTCGCTGTGGACATGTCCAAACGTCTGCCGAGCACCTTGAAGGTGGACTTCCAAAACTTCCCAGTGAAGCGATGATCTCTATCAGAAACAATTGCACAGCGTATCTGTACCTTCACCATCACTGGTATCTGGCACTGCTGCTAAATGAGTCATCTTGCTCAAACGGTCAACAAAGACCACAATACCCGTATTTCCATACGAATCGTTCGGTAATCCAAACAGGAAGTCCATACTGATGAACTCATGACACCCTTTGGGACAGGCAAACTACCCAGCGGCGCGGCCGCATGAGGTGAGGGTTTTACCCGTTGACACGTTTCACAAGTACGCACATATATACTCATCCATTTTCATAGTTTAGGCCACCAATATCATTGGATAACTGAGCCGTAGGTCTTCTCACGACCGAGATGACCACTCAACGCAGTATCATGTGCCTCGTAGAGGTTCCGATACTTCAACTCCTCATCATGAGGGACAACGATGCGAGGGGTATCCTCCACATCCTTGCTATAGCACAACAGGCCTTGATCGATCGAATGTCGATGTAACCTCGCACGTAATCGTGCCGACCATTCTATGTCCGAGTCCTTCATCTCCTCGCTCCCTAAAGCACGTAGCAGAGCTACACAGTGTTCATCCTTGGCATATGCCGTGCGGATTATGTCAGTGACCGACGAAGACAGAGTCGTAGCATGAGCAAGCTCATAGTCAGGCCTGCGTGACAACGCATCAGCCAAAGCATTCTGCTTGCTCGGCTTATACTTCACCTCGAAGTTGTACTCGGCAGAGAGGGAAATCCAAGGAGCCATTCTCTGAGAGAGGTGAGGCGACTGGGTCGCAGTGCTTAGTGACGCATCATTTGTATAAATCACAAACGGCTTAGAGCCAAGAAGATGAACTCTGAATTTGACGAGAGCATACCTCATTGCAATTAGCTCTTTGTTATGAACAGGAAAGTTCATTTCTGAAGCCTTCAGCTGCCGGGACTCAAATAAAATGACGCGTTCCCGTCCATCAGAATCTGTCTGTAACAGAGCGCTGCCTATGGCAAAGTCAGATGCGTCACAGACGACTCTGAAAGATCGATCAGGATCAGGCAGAGCCAAGCTTAACTCATGAAGGAGAATCTCCTTTACTGCTTAAAAAGCATCATGACCGGTGCTAGTCCAGCACCATTCCACATCTTTTCTAAGTAGATTGGATAATGGCCGAGCCATGTCTGCGTAATTCGCACTGTACTTGTGTAAGTAATTGGCAAGACCAAGCCACTTACGTAAGTCCTTTTAGTTCTTTGGAAACGGCCAATCAACTATGGCTTTTACCTTGGCGGGTAAAAGCTCGCATACCAATACAGCACCCTGAAAAGGGTATCTGTTCTGCACCAAAGAAGCACTTAGACGCGTTGGCGTACAACTTATTTATGCGCATGCACTCGAGCACCGCTCGTAAATGGTCAATGTGATTGTCCACATCTGACCGACCGTTCATAGCACGACTATGGACAAAGATGTCATTAAAGTACGTCTGTGCATATCCTCGGTGAGGTCTGAACAATTGTGTCACAAGACGATAGAATGTAGCCGGGGCGTTCGATAACCCTTGCGGCATAACAAGCCACTCCCTGAGCATACCGCTCGGAGTGCTGACCTCTGTCAGCGGAATATCGCTCTCTCGCATGAGCAGCTGATAATAACCATCGACTAAGTCAAACGCACTGTACATTTTACATCCAACCATATTGTTCTGAGGAA